CTCCCGTGTGTGTTCTCTGGTGTGTTACAAGAGTAGAGAAAGTGCAAACCGCCTTCCCACACACACTGCACTTGAAGGGTTTCTCTCCGTTGTGTGTTCTCTGGTGTGTTACAAGAGTAGATGAAAGTGCAAACGCCATCCCACAGACACTGCACTTGAAGGGTTTCTCTCCCGTGTGTGTTCTCTGGTGTGTCTTAAGATTATATGACTGTGAAAATGCCTCCCCACACACACTGCACTTGAAGGGTTTCTCTCCCGTGTGTGTTCTCTGGTGTCGTTTAAGAGCAGATGGCCGTGCAAATGCCTCGTCACACACAGTGCACTTGAAGGGTTTCTCTCCTGTGTGTGTTCTCTGGTGCTGTGTCAAATTTCCAGTCCGCTCCGTGCTGTACGCACGCTGGTCGCATTGTTGACTTGCCGTACCGAGCTGCGCTGACTGCCTTTGCTCCATCAGACCAATTCTGCAGAGGAAGCGTCAGAGGAAGCGTCAGCTGCAGACAGAAAAAAAGAATATGCACACCATCTACACGTCAATATCGAGGCACAGATGAATGCAAAAACACAGTCACACGTGACTTACACGTCTATACTTATTCATATATTCATGATGTCGTGAAAAAGTTTCCCAAATTCATCACACAGGCTGTTATTGCTACACAATGAGAGGGGCAAATGGTCATAAATATTGCCTGGAAGCCCTCGTATCTCCGTGGTGAGATGTTAACTACCTCACCTGGTATACAGGAAGTAGTGGGTTCGATCCCGACCCTGACGCCTGCTGCTGTATATTTGGAGTTTGCGTGTCTCTCTCTCTCTCTCTCCGTGGTGAGATGTTAACTACCTCGCCTGGTATACAGGAAGTCGTGGGTTCGATCCCGACCCTGACGCCTGCTGCTGCTTGCTGTGTATATTTGGAGTTTGCGTGTCTCTCTCTCTCTCTCCGTGGTGAGATGTTAACTACCTCGCCTGGTATACAGGAAGTAGTGGGTTCGATCCCGACCCTGACGCCTGCTGCTGCTGCTGTATATTTGGAGTTTGCGTGTCTCTCTCTCTGTGGTGAGATGTTAACTACCTCACCTGGTATACAGGAAGTCGTGGGTTCGATCCCGACCCTGACGCCTGCTGCTGCTGCTGTATATTTGGAGTTTGCGTGTCTCTCTCTCCTTGGTCGCGTGGATTTTCCTCCGAATCTCCCGGGTTTCCCCTCCACATTTAGAGTCAACATCAGTACGTGATTAGCGTCTTTGACCGATACCCATTTCCACACGTATTCTTGGTTCTTTCGGTAAAGTTACGTAGATAGACAATAACAACAGATAACATAAAATAAATGCCACTTGATGTTGTGATAGAAACGTCGTGGTTTTATTTACTATTTTGTTTACTTTATTAATTTATTATCTGTTATTTTTTATAAATTTTCTATCTCCGTGACTTCACCGAAAGAACCAAGAATATGAATTGCTGCAGTTACGAAAGTTTTAAGTCAAAACATTGACACACGCGTTTGACACAAACCCCCCATACCTTGTTGTTGTTGTGGGCAGGTAGCTTTCTGTAAACAAGAGCGGTACAGCAGCTCAAGCGGGCTTGGGGCTGGTAAAAAACTAAAAAAAAACTGCGTTTAATATCTACAATAAACCAAAGTGACAAAGTAGCGAGCCGCGTGAAGACAAATGAAACTTAAGGGAGGGAATTAAAGCAAAACGCGACCAGGCGAGGGCAGGAGGCAAGGCCCCGCGTGTCTAGGCCCCGCGTTGTAAAGTTCCAACTTGGACATCGATTCACAAGCTGCTGCTGCTTCTATTGACATCCTACGAGAGAGAGAGCGAGGCTCTAGCTTGGTAAACAACAACAACCACAACAACAACCACAACAACAACCACAACAACCACAACCACCACGACGATGAGAATTTCTCACCTCGGATTGCAGTTCACCGCGCGGACCTCCAGCTTCCTGTTAGCTCGTGACGTCACGCGGCAGCAGATGACGTCACGCGCTGCAGATGACGTGACGTCACGCCGGCAGCAGATGACATGACGTCACGCGGCAGCAGATGACATGACGTCGCTTTCTGGGGTACAAGACCCTCCCCTCCCACAATGAGAGGCGACCCTAACTGAATAAATTAATAAATTATGTTGATGTTTGCGATCATCAACATTATCAATAAACATCATTTACACCATCATATACAACAATATCATCAGCATCATCATCAGCATCAACAACAACATCATCAGCAACATCATCACCACCCCTAGCATCAGCAGAAATATCAACATCATCATCAGCAACAGCAACAACAACATCAGCAGCATCAACAACAACAACAACATCATCAGCATCAACAACATCAGCAACACCGTCACCATCTAGAACAGAGGGGGAGGGAAGACTGCGGCCTAGTCGCCTCGGGCCATCCCGAGTTTTCCTAGCGGACCCGCCGCGCCCGGAGCGCCTCCCCCGGCAGGAGTCGGGATCGAATAACGGGTCCGCCGGGCGTGGTGAACACACATACACACAGTGTACACACACACACACAGTGCACACACACAGTGCACACAGTGTACACACACACATAGTGCACACACACACACACACAGTGCACACACACAGTGTACACACACACAGTGCACACACAAAGTGTACACACACACATTGTACACACACACAGTGTACACACACACAGACAAAACCACACAGACACACAGTGTGTACACACACAGTTTACACACAAACACACAGTGTACACACACACAGACACACACACAGAGTGTACACACACACAGTGCACACACAGACACACATACACAGTGTACTCACACACACACAGTGTACACACACACAGTGTACTCACAGACACACAGTGTACACACACACAGTGTACACACACACAGTGGAAACACACACACAGACACACACAGTGTGTGTACACACACACACAGTGTACACACACAGAGTGTACACACACACACAGTGTACACACACAGAGTGTACACACACACAGTGCACACACAGACACATACACAGTGTACACACAGACACACAGTGTACAGACACACATACACAGTGTACACACAAATACACAGTGTACACACAGACACACAGTGGACACACACACACAGACACACACAGTGTACACACATAGTGTACCACACACACAGTGTACACACAGTGTACACACACAGTACACACACACACTGTATACACACCACACACAGACACACACACAGACACACACAGTGTGTACACACACGACACACAGTGTACACACACACAGACACACACACAGAGTGTACACACACAAACACAGTGCACACACAGACACACATACACAGTGTACACACAGACACACAGTGTACACACACACAGACACACACACACAGACACACACAGTGTACAAACAGACACACACAGTGTACACACACACAGGACACACAGACACACACAGTGTACACACAGACACTCCAACACACAACCGGTTAGTGCTGCTCCAGTGACAGATTGGCACGGTATGTCACGTGATAAACCTTGCGAATCGGCTGTCGGCTGATGGCCGTTTAACGACACGCATACATTCAAACTTTATTTGGAGTTGGAGTTTGTGTCTCTCTCTCATCATCACGGTGGCTAGGAGATGTTAACTACCTCGCCTGGTATGCAGGAGGTCGTGGGTTTGATCCCGATACTGAAGATTCTTGCTGTATATTTGGAGTTTGTGTGTCTCTCTCATCATCATCACGGTGGCTAGGAGATGTTAACCTCCCTCGCCTGGTATACAGGAGGTCATGGGTTTGATCTCGATCCTGAAGATTCTTGCTGTATATTTGGAGTTTGTGTGTCTCTCTCATCATCATCACGGTGGCTAGGAGATGTTAACTACCTCGCCTGGTATGCAGGAGGTCGTGGGTTCGATCCCGGCCCTGGCGACGCCAACTGCTGTATATTTGGAGTCTGCGTGTCTCTCTCTCTCTCATCATCATCAGTGAGTGGGTGAGGTGAGTGGGTGGGTGATTGTGTGAGCGAGTGGGTGTGCGGGTGAGTGGGTGGGTGAGTGTGTGAGCGAGTGGGTGTGCGGGTGAGTGGGTGGGTGAGTGTGTGAGGTGAGTGTGTGAGCGAGTGGGTGTGCGGGTGAGTGGGTGGGTGAGTGTGTGAGGTTAGTGTGTGAGAGAGTGAGGTGTGTGAGCGAGTGGGTGTGCGGGTGAGTGGGTGGGTGAGTGTGTGAGCGAGTGGGTGTGCGGGTGAGTGGGTGGGTGAGTGTGTGAGGTGAGTGTGTGAGCGAGTGGGTGTGCGGGTGAGTGGGTGGGTGAGTGTGTGAGGTTAGTGTGTGAGAGAGTGAGTGTGTGAGCGAGTGGGTGTGCGGGTGAGTGTGCGGGTGAGTGGGTGGGTGAGTGTGTGAGCGAGTGGGTGTGCGGGTGAGTGGGTGGGTGAGTGTGTGAGCGAGTGGGTGTGCGGGTGAGTGGGTGGGTGTGCGGGTGATGTGAGTGGGTGGGTGAGTGTGTGAGCGAGTGGGTGTGCGGGTGAGTGGGTTGGGTGTGTGAGCGAGTGGGTGTGCGGGCGAGTGGGTGGGTGAGTGTGTGAGGTGAGTGTGTGAGCGAGTGGGTGTGCGGGTGAGTGGGTGGGTGAGTGTGTGAGCGAGTGGGTGTGTGAGGTGCGTGGATGGGTCAGTGAGTGGATGAGTGAGGAGGGGTACCAGGTCGTCTACTGGGGGTGAGGGGTCATTATACAGGGCGGTTCAAAGGTCAAGACACAGTTTCTTGGGTTTTTATTTTATTGTGATTTTCCGAGTTTACAAAGGTAGCTCTCTCTCCATCCGTCTCTCCACTCTCTCTTCCTCTCTCCACTGCTGGGCCTGTAGGCTTGGCCCGAGCGAGTTCCCGCCTTTTCACGAGTTGATTCCGCCCCCCGCCGTGGCTTTGGTCGGCACGAGGCTTCTGCGCCGGTGAGTGTCAAGGGCTCCAACGGGCCCCAAACCGCTGCCCCGTCGTCACCAGCCGCCGTGGACAAAGCGCCGATGCTCGACATCATGAGCTGCGTGGAGAGGGACCTTCTGGACCTCATGTTGCGCACGCGGGCTACAACGTCGTCCAGGAGAACGGACAGAGGAAGCTGGGACCGCCGCCCGACTGGCAGGGCCCCCCTCCCGCCCGCGGCTGCGAGGTGTTCCGTGGCGAGGATCCCGCCGACCTGTACGAGGACGAGCTGCTTCCCGTGCTGGAGGCGGTGGGGCAGCTGTACCAGCTGCGCCTCATGATGACGTACGACGGAGAGAACCGCGGCATACGCGTTCGCCACCTTCGCGACGCGCTCGCAAGCCGCGGACGCCGTCAAGAGACCCCACGACTTGGAGATCCGCCCGGGGCGACGGATCGCGGTTTGCGTGAGCGTCGACAATCGCCGCCTCTTCTTGGCGAGGCTGCCGAAGGACAAGACGCGGGCCGAGGTGATGGCGGCGATGAGCGACGCCACGGAGGGCGTCGTGGACGTCCAGATGCGCTTCTGTCGCTACGACAGGAGCCTCAGCCGAGGCTACGCGTTCGTCGAATACGAGAGCCACCGCGCGGCCTGCATGGCCCGCAGGGTGCTGCTGCCGTACTCCTTCCGGCTGTGGGGCCGGGACATCAACGTGGACTGGGCCATCCCGCAGCGAGAGCCGGGGGCGGCGGCTGCTGCTGCTGCCGCGGCGGTGGCAACGGAAGACGACGAGGAGGGGGGGGAGGAGGAAGCGGCAACTGAAGACGAGGAGGAAGAGGTGGTGGAGGAGGAGGAGGTGGAAGAGGTGGTGGAGCGGGAGGAGGAGGCAACGGAAGACGAGGAGGAGGGGGGGAGGAGGAGGTGGAGGAGGAGGATGTGGAGGAGGAGGAGGCACCGGAAGACGAGGAGGGAGGAGGAGGCGGGGGCAAACTGAAGATGAGGAGGAAGAGGTGGTGGAGGAGGAGGAGGTGGAAGAGGTGGTGGAGGAGGAGGAGGAGGTGGGGAGGCGGGGTGAGGAGGAGGAGGGGAGCGAGGAGGGCAACGGAAGACGAGGAGGAGGGGGCGGAGGAGGCGGGGGGGCAACTGACGATGAGGAGGAAGCGGTGGTGCGAGGAGGAGGAGCGGAGGATGAGGTGGTAGAGGAGGAGGATGGCTGGGTGGAGGAGGAGGTGGAGGAGGAGGCAATTGAAAGACGAGGCGGAGGTGGCTGGCGGGTCCCTAGGCCTCCCGCAGCCGGGAAGTGCGCCGTTCTGCGGGCAAGGTCCCGCACCGCATGTTTGTGGGCTGGGCGGCGCGCCGCAGCTCTGGCGGGCACCCCCGCCCCACTCGCGGCCCCGCCCGTCGGTATGGACGAGCCTGCCGGTCGGCGGCCGTCTTGTCGTGGGAGACGCGTTTGCAGGCGCTGCTACGGAGCGCCGGCGTGGGCCACGCGACCTTCGAACTGCACGCTCACTCGGAGCCCGGCAGGCCCATGGGCCTCCTGTACAAGGTCTCCGTTCCCGGGATGATGCGGGAAGGCAGCGGCTTCTTCCCCGCGGTGCTGAGCTCCAGCGTGGAGGGAGCGCGCGAAGTTGCCAGCGAGCTCCTCCACGAAATCCTCAGCGACGCGAACCCGAGGGCGGGCCCGGCCCCCGTCGCGACGGCGCCTCCCGGCCGCCCCGTCCGGGACCTCCCGGCGTATCCCGGCGACTTCCCCGCGCCCGGCAGCCGGTCGCCGCGCGCCTGCCGACAAGCGGCACGCACCCGTAGTGCCGCGTGGCCGTCGTGGCGGCGTTCGTCAGACCGCGGACGGTGTCCTACCGCTTGAAGCTCACATCCGTTCTGCCGTGTTCACCGTCAAACTGCAAGTTGCCCGGCCGCTCACTCGACATGGTCACGTTGCCGCATGCCAGAGCTCGCAATCGGGTACCCGTACACGTTCCCTACCCGATACCCGGCTACCCGTACCCGGCCGGGTACGGGTAGGGTACAGGTATCGGGTACCCGATTGCGACCTCTGGGATGAAGCCACGTTGCAGGCGCGGGTGGGTTGATTCTAGGAACTTGAATTGTGAGAAGAGACAAGACGTTGGCAAATGAGTGACACACGGTGACTCACCAGTGACTCACGGCTTACCCGTACCCGGCCGGGTACGGGTAGCCGGGTATTGGGTAGGGTACGGGTATCGGGTACGGGTAACCGGGTATCGGGTAGGGTACGGGTAGCCGGGTATCGGGTAGGGTACGGGTATCGGGTAGGGTACGGGTAGCCGGGTATCGGGTAGGGTACGGGTATCGGGTAGGGTACGGGTATCGGGTAGGGTACGGGTAGCCGGGTATCGGGTAGGGTACGGGTATCGGGTACCCGGTTGCGACCTCTGCCGCTCGCTCTCCACTCAGCCGTC